GCCATTGCACTCCAGCCTGGGTACAGGCAATTCTCCTGCCTCAGCCTCCTGAGTAGCTGGGATTACAGGCACGTGCCACCATGCCCAGCTAATTTTTTGTATTTTTAGTAGAGACGGGGTTTCACCATGTTGACCAGGATGGTCTCGATCTCTTGACCTCGTGATCCACCCGCCTCGGCCTCCCAAAGTGCTGGGATTACAGGCTTGAGCCACCGCGCCCGGCCAGGACTCAAGTCTTTATGTTGGACAGGCTTCCATGAACAAAGATTTCTTCCATAATCTTTCCAGGAGTTCTTACTATGGCTATCTTGGTCTGCATAGCTATTTACAGCTTTCTCACAATTATTTTTACCACATGGCTAACCTCTTAGTGCTACTTAAGGGAAAACAGCTCATTGGAAAAAAAAGTAATAGAAACTTCTCAGTGAAAGTTAACGATACACCACCCCATTTCAAAACTGAGGAATTTGCTGAAATATTTAAATAAACAAAATTCTTCCAAATGGCATGTAGTGTCCCATATGGTATATACACTCCTCTACATTTCCAAATAACAGCCTGTATGATTTCAGAACAGAATTATTTCCCTTGCCTTCAGTTACCGGTTTAGAAGTTGTGAGGAAACTTTTCACGGGAAGAAAATATGGTATAGCCGTAACTGTACTTTTGTATGGAAAGGAAAGGCAGATATTTTCTGCAATAACTTTCAAGCCATCAAAGGATTTCCATTTTGATAAATATGGGGTACCCTTAACGAGATTTAAGACAGGGTAACTAGTAGTTGAAGAGTGCTTTTAAGGTACCAGCTGGAAAGTTGAAAAGGCTATGATTTCTGCATTTTCCTTTAGCACTCGGGTGTATCTGAGACACACCCATCTGCGCCTTTGACTCCTGTAGTTTATAACCTAAGCAAGGTTGCCAAGTCGGCAAAAGCTGTCTGTTAATGCCACAGGCCTGTGTTCCACCTAATAACCTTTGCTTTGGACCACTATTAGGCGCAGAGACGGTAACCTTGACCGGCCCAAGGCGGTGGCCGTCTCTGACAAGTAGCTGGGCTTCAAAACACTAGTGGAACAAGGCGACCTGATTCAGACCAAAAGTGCCAGAGTTGGGGGAAACCCAGGCGAAACCTGAGAAGGCGCTTAAATTTGGGAATTCATGTTAAGAAGTAATTTAAGGGGACTGGATATCAGAATTTCAAAGATCTGTTTAGATTAGTACAGTCTCGTAATCTAGTGAGTCTTAAAGGGTTACAGCTTTTTTTCATGGATAAAGTGGTTGGCTCTGAAAAGAGCCTTTGGATTTAAGGTTGTTACTCAAAGCAATTTACGCTCTCTCACCACGAATGCGGCGGGCAAGTTGGATGTCCTTGGGCATGATGGTGACGCGTTTGGCATGGATGGCACACAGGTTGGTGTCTTCAAAAAGCCCTACCAAGTAGGCCTCGCAGGCCTCCTGCAGCGCCATCACGGCCGAACTCTGGAAGCGCAGGTCGGTCTTGAAGTCTTGAGCGATTTCTCGCACCAGGCGCTGAAACGGCAACTTCCGAATTAACAGCTCGGTGGACTTCTGGTACCGACGGATCTCGCGCAGAGCCACAGTACCGGGGCGGTAGCGGTGGGGCTTCTTCACGCCGCCGGTTGCCGGAGCGCTCTTACGCGCCGCCTTGGTTGCCAGCTGCTTGCGCGGCGCTTTACCGCCTGTAGATTTCCGGGCAGTCTGCTTAGTACGCGCCATGACTAGCCTCAGAAGCAAGTACATAGGGAAAACTGACTTACCCCTCTATTTATAAAGGAACAGACTCAATGTGATTGGATTGTGGACAATCCCTGTTAGTGATAGGTTGCTACATTCCGGAAGTGCTCGTAGCCATTTTCCATTGGTTTATTTTTTCAGAGCAAGATTCTGATTGGTAAATTTGGGTACCTTTGAACAAATCGTTTTTGTTACAGGTTTCTTTGATGTTTCACATACAGCAGAACCTGCAAACACTTTCATCATTTAACTTAACAGATTGAACTTTTATCCTGTTTAGCTATAAAAAAATAGAATGTATTTGAATTAGAAAGTTCTTTAGAATTTTTTTCAAAACCATGTTTTTTTCGGCTTAATAGTCCTTAAGTTTTTCCCTTCTCTATTCACTCATTTAAAATCCATTGTCTAAGTATCTCTCAATGAGTTCTGGTTTCATTATAGAGTACATAGCTAATTGAGTCAAATATACTTTTCTAAGATATACTGTTTAAACACAAGGAACTTTGTGTTTCATTTTTGTTAGAGTAAGTCTAACATCCCCAAATCCCTGCCGCTTTAATACCGGATTTGACTCAAAGGATTTCACGTTATCATTTTGTTTTGCGGAAATCAAAATGTCAAAGCATAATGGCAATAGCTGTCAAGAAAACTATTTTCACTACAGTAAATTGAAAAAGATGGCGGCGAAGAGTCTCAGAAGGTTGTTTATAAGACAACAATGGCGCAGCTTCTCCGGATTCCTGCGGGAAAGAGCTGAGCTGCGCTGAACAATTTAACACACACCCAACAGAACTTTTGTAGGAACTGGACTCACCAAAAGAAAACACAAAAAAACAAAAAAAACAGGACTTCTTAACTTGGTTTTCGCTTCCAAACTCAACAGTTCTAAATTACTTTGAAAATGAAAATTAGTTTACTGGGAAATATTCTTAGGGAATGATACTATAGCTTAACACGATATTGTAAACCAACCTATCGGATTCCCTGTAAGATGTTCTTTTTTCAGCCAATGACAAGAGCAGTTTGTGAATTCTTAAGTTACACACCTTTAAGCTATTGGCTACTTTCGTCCAGGCAGAGTTTAGATTTACAAGTTCGCGTTTGTAGAAGCGTACTATAACGACTTCGGAAGGGGATAGTGCGCGTGCGTGCCTGTTGAAAGGTCTAGTTTCCTTTTGTTTTTGTTTTCCAATAGGGTTTCTTTCTTATTGAAAAGCTATTTCGTAAGGTGTTGATGCTGGCATATAGTCCAAGGCAACTGACATCAAGGATTCGTTGGAGACCTCGCCCTCCAGGGAGGGGAGAAGGCCAAACCAAATTCATCTCTGCCCACAAATGCTCGCGGATGTCTGCAAGCTGAAAGGGGAGGAGACAGACAAGGCTTTGTGCCTGCCTGCTCATTCTCTGAATTTTGTTAAACCTGCCCTATTTTAGGGTATTCATAAAAATTCTGTTAACCACAGGATTGATACAATTGCATCTTTCAAATTAGTGTCTAGTTAGCAAATCTGAATTTATATTAGGACTCGTGGGCAAATCAAGACCGAATTTACACATTGTCATGCATTTCAATCTCACATGTCAAATACATGAGTCCCTTCCTTTTCTCCATTTCAGAAAAAGAAAATTCTGTACACTAACTCAAGGTAAAATGCTTAGACATGTTGGCAAAATGGTTTTATAGGGAGCAGGAAAAAAACTGAAATCCTTTTGTATAATATGATCACATATCGGTGGGCTGGGGTGTTTGTCAATGAGAGCTATGCTCCGGTTGCTTTTCCTCTCCCTACTCCCTACATTTCATGTTCCGAGGCCCAATGTTCATTTTAGTTTCTTCATTTCTAGAATTAGAATGTTAATATCTACATGTAAAAAGGTTTCCAAAATCAAAAGATAAACTTTACGTCAAAGGTTCAAGACAGAGGCAGTAAGAAATTCCATCTTTATGCCCCATAGTTTGATTTCTTCCCCAGTGTCCTTAAATCTGTCAATCCGGCGTTTTGCCACCCTACCTTAAGTTCTTTTCATAATCCTCATCTCGAAATATGTGTAAACCTTTGATTTAAGGAGTCACTGCAAAATTTACAAGATTACATAAGAACTTACCAGCTCACTGGTATTAATCAGTAGTTTTTATGTCCGTCTCCATACCTGAGCACAAATTAAGGTGGGATTTGCATTGTGTAATAAAATAGTCGAAAAGGCTTGTGGCCACTACGTATTTGAAATGTGGCTGTTGAAGCTGAGGACTTTGGTTTTTTTTTTTTTTTTTTTAAGAAGGAGGCTTGCCTTGTCCCCCAGGATGGAGTGCAGTGGCGAGATCTCAGCTCACTGTAACCGCCACCTCTCTGGTTAAAGGGATTTCCCTGGCTGTCTCCACAGTAGGGGGAATTTCAGGTGCTCACCACCACACCCAGCTGTTTTTAAAATGTATTTTTAGTAGTGACGAGGTTTCACCATGTTGGCCTTGTTGGTATCCAACTCCTGACCTTAAGTAATGTCTGCCCCGACCTCCCAAAGTGTTGGGATTACAGGCATGAGCCACCACGCCCAACCAGAATTTTTATTTTACCTAATTTTAATTAATTTAATTTAAAAGCTGATACTCTAGTTACTGAAACATGTTAGATATGTTTTGAATAATTAGGTATTAGAATTTAATTTTTTAGCACTCAAGTTTATGAAATCAAAATGAAAATCCAGTTATTTCCCACAAAAATGTAATGCCAAATAGAATGTCAATCATATTTAGAAGACTTAAGCTTTAAAAAAGAATGTGAAATCTTGCATTAATATTGATTTTATATTGACTATATTTATTTTGAAATAAAGATTTTGTATTTTGGGCTAAATACGATACTTATTACTTTACCTACTTCTTATTACTGTTTCAAATGTGTTATTCAAAAATTCAAAATTACATATGTGGGTTGATTATTATTATTATTTTTTTGAGATGGAGTCTCTCTCTGTAGCCCAGGCTGGAGTGCAGTTTCGTGATCTACACTCACTGCAGCCTCCGCCGCCTCCTGGGTCTCAGTTCAAGCAATTATCCTACCTCACCATCCCAATTAGCTGGGATTACAGGCAGGAGCCACCATGCCCAGCAAATTTTTGTATTTTTATTAGATACGGGGTTTCACCATTTTGGCCAGGCTGATCTCGAACTCCTGACCGCAGGTGATCTGCACACCTCGGCTTTCAATAGTGCTGGGATTATAAGCATGAGCCACCAAACGCGGTAGTGGCTTGCATTATTCTTTATATATAGCATTGTGCCAGGATCATCCATTTCTCTTCTGTTTCTTGATTCTTTACCAAATCTTGACAGCACAGGCTTTGAAATAGTGTGGACTTTCAATATATTTCTATGAACTCAGTTATAGCATCTGGACTCAATCTATAACCAAACAATATCTTTATTTATACCTACATCTACATATCTATACAATTGTGTTAGGGAACTAAGGGGGCTTGCTAAACCATTAGTTATTGAAGTAAGAAGAGGTGAGCAACTAGCAAAATTATTGACCTTTGAATTTTTCCATGGCAAACTATCAGTAAGTGGAGACTATTTGAAATTCTGTTAGCCAGGCACAGTGGCTCAGGCCTATAATGTCAGTGACCCAGGGGCTGGGGTAGGAGGGTTGCTTAAGGATAGAAATTTGACGATGTAGTGAGCCATAATTGTAACACTGCACCCAGTTTGGGTAACAGAGCATGACCGAAAAATGAGGAAAAAAAAAAAAAAAAAGAAAAGAAAGAAAAAAAGAAGTGTTATAGGAATATTTTTCCTGATATTATGTTTTTGAAAAAAACATGTTTTGTACAAAAACTTACAACTGCTAATTCTTAAAGGAATTAGTGTCCCCAAAACTTAACTTTCTATGTACGTATAATAGAATGTACATTCTGGTGTTTAAAAAAACAAGAGGAATCACTGGAAGCACAATGCCATTTCCTAAAAAGAAGAAAGTTCAGAAAATAATGTGCTATTCCTGGAAGCTACGTAAACACCAAGAAAGAGTCTGATAACATCAGGTAAATTACTTTGAAGTCTAAAAATAATAAAAAAGTTAAAGTGTTGATTATTTTATAAGAGCCAAGGGGAGCTCTGAAGGTTTGTTGAAAGATTAGCTTACAAAAGGCAGATTAATTGCAGAATAGTTACACAAATTTATTAGTGTGTTCAAGGGAGCCTTCAGAAGGAAGATATAAAGATACAGGAAAAATTGTCCACATTTATGCTTAGGTTCAAAAAAGTATGGAACTTGTAGAAATCTGATAGGACAAAAGGGGTATGATGTAACCGAGCAAGGCCTGTCTGTCTAGACTCTTCCTTGTCTCTGTCAACTGAAGAATGAAAAGGTTCATACGTTTGGAAAGGATAGCTTTATTTCTCATAAAGGATTGCAGCCTGCAAGGTGGCCTTTCTGAAAGGCTAAGTATGGTAGCCTTGTTTGTCTGAGAGACAGGCATTTGGAGGGAAGAAGGGAGGGATAAAACAGTAAGTTTTGAGGAATGTGTTGGCCAAGTATACATATTTAATAGGTTATAGGAGGAGCTATGATTATTTATGAATAAGACTCAAGCACATGGGTATTAGGTATTTGTGTAGGTAACATATGTCTATGATCACTTTGGGGTGGAGATTTAACATGTAAATGAGTTATAATTAGGTCCTATACATAAAACTGAAATGTAGGGCAGAAGTCCATAATCTGCCTTCTCAGGAGACTGGTCACAACCAGTTGGGGGCCGGCAGTCATTTATCAAGAAACTTTATGGTCCTTAATACCTATCTTGTCTGAAACACATTTGAGGAGGGTGGAAGGGGTCAGATAAAATAAGTGGGGAAGGGGCTTATTGGCATTTTATTCCCTCAAATCAGACTTTGAGAAAATCCAGCATCGATTAGAAAGGGAAAGAGGAGTAGAAACAGACAGAATGTGACCAGCCTCCATCTTGTTGTGGCTGGGAATTTAAACTTTTGAGGTGTTTTAGCCAAAGGAGGGTACATTATTCTGTCAAAGGGACTTAGAATTTTTATTTCATTCCTCACCTCTTTGAACATGCACTCCTGCCTTCTTGGTATGCGACAGCACCACCTCTGGAATGGGGTCTTATGACCTGCAATTAAACTAGGTAGGTCAGAGAGTTTCTCTGTGGCCGGTTTTTACATAAAAAGGTGGAGGGGAAATTAGAGTAATATTTTTAGTTTTTATGGATGGCTTTGAGGAAAAAGGATTCTGGTTGTGATGAGCCACACTGGGAAAGAGGAATTCTAGTTTTTATGTCTAGCCGCACAGGAGAATGGTACTCAGACACAGAAGGGCAGGAGACCCAGAAAAATTTTGCTTCTGAGGTAGAATCTTTGGCCTTCATTTTGGGGTATTGTTTCCAAGCTCCAATTTGATTAATCAGTAAAGGATGTCAAGGTTTTATACTATGGGGCTTCATAGACATTAATCTTGCAATTGCTTTATTTTTATCTTTTTTTAAGTGGAAATTTAGTTTAAGAAAAATCACAAGACTTGTCAGTCAGAGAAAAGAGAGGGGCCCTATGTGTCCTACTCTAAAAAATTTAAAGTTTACACAAAGTTTACAGGGAAATATGCTTTCACCATCTCAAAATTTACTATTGATTAAAGGTATCAAACTTATTGAAGTTAATTCTTAGATCTTTTTGTCTGCCAATGCAAATAATTTTGGATTCAAGCGATTCTCCTGCCTTAGTCTCCCAAGTAGCTTGGATTACAGGCAATTGCCATCACACATGGCTAATTTTTGTATTTTTAGTAGAGATGGGGTTTCATTATGTTGGCCATCCTGGTCTCGAACCCCAGACCTTGTTGTCTGCCCATATTTTTAGTAGAGACATGGTTTCATGTTGGCCAGGCTAGTCTCGAACTCCTGATCTTGTGATCCGCCCACCTTGGCCTACCAAAGTGCTGGGATCACAGCTGAGAGCTACCGCACCCAGCGGGAACGAAGTCATCTTTAAAACTTAAAAAACCTGCCCTGAAATGCTAGTGGGCAGCTATCCTTCTTTGTTCTCTCATTTCTGTATTAATATTTTAGTCTTTTCTGACAAGTGGACATTAAGAAACAGCCTGTGTATAGTAAATTTGGATATGTGTCCAAATATAATAATGGACTTTGCGATGGGAATAATTTCCGTTCAGTGGAACAAATATAAGTTCAATTGTATTGTGTACCTTTATAAAACGCATTTTTGCTTGGAAATAACATCACTAAGATAATTTCATGCATAAAATGTAAGCAATGATTTGAATTATTAACTAACAAAAACAGTAAACAAGAATTCATTTTTAAATGAATTTGAAGGTGTCAGTGACGTTAGAAACGTTTGTAGAACTAGCAGAGCGTTAATCACTTAGATTTCAAGAACCATGTGTACTCCAGCGCTTTACGGAAAACGTGGGTGGCTCTGAAAAGAGCCTTTGGTTTCAGGGTCTCGAGATCACTGATGGATTTGACTAGTAATCATTTTACTTGCCCTTGGCCTTATGGTGACTCTCCGTTTTCTTAGGCAGCAGTACGGCTTGGATGTTGGGCAGGACACCGCCCTGTGCGATAGTCACGCGACCTAGAAGCTTATTAAGCTCCTCGTCGTTGCGGATGGCCAGCTGCAGGTGGCGCGGGATGATGCGGGTTTTCTTGTTGTCGCGGGCCGCGTTGCCAGCGAGTTCCAAGATCTCTGCAGTCAGATACTCCAACACCGCCGCCAGGTAGACCGGCGCGCCAGCCCCGACTCGTTCCGAGTAATTGCCCTTGCGGAGCAGACGGTGCACACGGCCGACGGGAAACTGAAGCCCGGCTCTGGAAGAACGCGTTTTAGCTTTTGCCCGGGCTTTGCCGCCTTGTTTTCCACGTCCAGACATTGTGGCTTGCTAACAGAAGAGGAAACAACCCACAGAATGAAGAAAAAAAGTGGGCTCGATGGAGGAATAAGAAGCTAATTATAGTCATAGGTAGAATTGTAAATGGCGCAGTTTGATTGGTTAAAATTATTATTAGAAAAGCCAACCAATTGGAAAGGAAATAAAGTGAAAGCTACTTTAAATATTTGCGTCACTAATACAGTGGCCAATCAGAGCTCCATCTTTTCAATTCTCTATTTGCATAAAAGGCCTATAAAAGGAGAGCCTGTAGACACGAGCCATTGCTGAAATATTTCCTTTCTAATTGTTCTTTTCTTCTGACAACATGCCTGAGCCAGCTAAGTCAGCTCCCGCTCCAAAGAAAGGATCCAAGAAGGCGGTAACGAAGGCGCAGAAGAAAGACGGCAAGAAGCGCAAGCGCAGCCGCAAGGAGAGCTACTCCGTGTACGTGTACAAGGTGCTGAAGCAGGTCCACCCCGACACCGGCATCTCCTCCAAGGCCATGGGCATCATGAACTCCTTCGTCAACGACATCTTCGAGCGCATCGCGGGCGAGGCTTCCCGCCTGGCGCATTACAACAAGCGCTCGACCATCACCTCCAGGGAGATCCAGACGGCCGTGCGCCTGCTGCTGCCCGGGGAGCTGGCCAAGCACGCCGTGTCGGAGGGCACCAAGGCCGTCACCAAGTACACCAGCTCCAAGTAAATGCCTGTGTAGGCACTTTCAAACCCAAAGGCTCTTTTAAGAGCCACTCAAATATCAAATATGGAGCTTTAATACTAAATTCCACCGTTTTCTAATTTGTAATCCAAGATATTTTTCCAGCCGAGGCGGCAGATCGCCTAAATTTAGGCGTTCGAGGCCATCTTGACCAACAGAGTAAAACCCCGTCTCTACTAAATTACAAAAACGAGACGGGTCTGTTGGTCGGCCTCTGTATTCAGAGCTACTGGTTTTGGAGGGGCTGAGGAAGAACTGATTAACGCGGGGGGCGCAATTTGCAGCGAGCGGGAGATCTCACCTTTGCATTCCATCCTGGGCAACAAGAGTGAGATTTCGGGTAAAAAAAAAAAAAAGTTGATCAAGAGATTGTGTTTGCTGGCGAAAGGTCCTGTAGTCCTAGCACTTTGGGAGGCCGATGCATGAGCTTCGCTTCAGCCCAGGAGTTACGGATTAGCCTGGGCAACACAAAACTCGTCTCTGCAAAAAGTAAAACTAACCGGGTGTGATGGCTTGCTTCCGTACTATCAGTTACTCGGTAGGTAGAGGCTGCAGGAGGATGTGAACGCGCCAGTGAATTCCAGTCTGCGCGACATCGAAAGGGGTAGGAAATGTGTAGGCTTTGGGTCCCTGAAGATCATCCAACAAGTTTGTCTTTTCTGAGCACTGTTGGGGACTGTTGTGAGGGAATACCATGAGTATTGAGCTAAAAATTCTCGTTTTGTTACGGGCACAGTGGCTCACGCTTGTAATCCCAGTACTTTGGGAGGCCAAGGCCAGCGGATCACGCAGTCAGGAAATCGAGATCATCCTGGCTAACAGTGAAACTCAGTCTCTACTAAAAAAAAAAAAAAAAAAAAAAGCTGGGCATGGTGGTAGGCGCCTGCAGTCCCGGTTAGTTGGGAAGCTGAGACTACTGTTAGTAGTCTTAACAACTAAGCTGAGACAGGAGAATCCCTTGAGCCCGGGAGGCAGCGGTTGCAATGAGCCGAAACCGCGTCACTGCACTCCAGCCTGGGCAACAGAGCAAGACACCCGCTCAAAAACACCTCGTTCTGGCTGGGCGCAGTGGTTTACACCTGTAATTCCAGCACTTTGGGAGACGGAGGCGGGTGGATCACCTGAGGTCATGAGTTCGAAAACAGCCTGACCAATTTAGGCAGGTGTGGTGGCGCAAGCCTGTATTTCCAGCTACTGGGGAGGCTGAGGCAGGGGAATCGCTTGTACCGGGGAAGCAGAGGTTGTAATGAACCGAGATCATGCTGTTTCACTACAGCCTGGGCAAATAGAGCGAAATCCGTCTCAAAACCAACCAAACAAAAAGTAATAAAAGTAAATGAAAATCCTGGGTTTATACTCATTAGCAAATTTTCTTAACTACGACCAAAAAAAAAAAAAAAAAAAAAAGTCACTACTCCATAAGCAATCTCAGGTTTCTGAAAACAACATAGTACTCCGAAATATGGCACCTTGACATACTGATTATTCTAAGGAATTAGTAGAACAACATAGACAGGAATGTCCTTATGACCTTCCTCTGAAACAGGCTGTAAGACCCTCATGTGAGTATTGCAGAGTATGAGATGAATCTGAACAAATAGACCTTGCTAGAGTTCTCCGTGTTTATTACTCATATTATTTTTGTCTTATATTTCTGCATGACAACTCTTCGTCAAACCTAGTGTAAAAACATCAGGTTTGACCCCTTCTTTAGGTCTTTATTTCCTTATGTCATGTAAAACTTTATATTAAATGTGTATGCTTTTTTCTTGTTAATCTGTATTTTGTTTCAGGGCCCCAGCCAATGAACAGAAGATTGGTTAATAGGAAAAGCTCTTTCCTCCCCTACAACATACACTAGGGATGGGTGTGCATCTGTGTTTCGTGTGTTTGTCTTTGTGGAGTACAGAAGCCATCATAACATGGAAAAGAGGTGGAGAAAAGTAATTCCAGAATAAAAATGTTTGAGAAATGTGTTTGCTAGGGCTGCCAAAAAAAAAAAAAAATCTTAAAGAAATCAATTCTGTCACATTTATGAAGACTACAAGTTCAAGATCAACTTAGTGAGCAGGACTGATTTTTTCTGAGGCCACTCTCCTTGAGTTTTCCCCTCCCTTCTCTTTCCTCTGTGTGTGGTCTGTGTTTTAATATCCTCTCATAAGGACACCAGTCAGATTAGATTAGGACCCGCCCCTAAAACTTCATTTTATACCTTTAAAGACCTTATCTCTAAATAAAGTAACATGTTCAGGCAGTTGATATTGGACTTCAACAATCAAATTGTGGTCTGGGACAGATAAATCAGCCCATATAAAAAATTATGGTTGGCCGGGCGCGGTGGCTCACGCCTGTAATCCCAGCACTTTGGGAGGCCGAGGCGGGTGGATCACAAGGTCAAGAGATCAAGACCATCCTGGTCAACATGGTGAAGCCCCGTCTCTACTAAAAATACAAAAAATTAGCTGGGCATGGTGGCGCATGCCTGTAGTCCCGCCTACTCGGGAGGCTGAGGCAGGAGAATTGCCTGAACCCAGGAGGAGGAGGTTGCGGTGAGCCAAGATCGCGCCATTGCACTCCAGCCTGGGTAACAAGAGCGAAACTCCATCTCAAAAAAAAAAAAAAAAAAAATTATGGTTATTAGGGTTCTAAATAGTACATGAAATAAGTATTTCAAAGGCATCTCAAACTCAGCACAACCAAGACAGACCTTATTATACTCTACTCAGCTTGACTTATTCATCCAAGTTTGAGATCTAGCCTTCATTCCAGAGTACTCCCTTTTCTGCACATGTTTAAAAACATACAAAGTCTTATTGATTCTATCTTCTAATTTTATGTTAATATTGTCAATATTTTTGTTTACTGTAGCTAAAAACTGGAATATTCATGTTGAAGAGTAGGACTTTGCCTAACACTAGGTTTTATCCCTAATGAAATATTATGCAGCTGTTAAAAATATTGTTTAAAAAATAAACAACATAAAATATGCTCATGGCATTATATGGGGTAAATCTAAGTTGCCAAATAGTGTATTCTTATTTATATTACATCACACATACACACACACACACACACACACACACACACACACACACACACACACAATACAGTTGTAAGTAAAAAGGGGGACTGGAAGGGTCCATGCCAAAACATTAACACTGCTGTTACATTCTTTTTGGTGCAAGAGACAGCTCCTGTGAAGAGAAGTTTCTCTATTTGTCTCCAAAACTCTCAATGGTGTGGTTAAGAAATAGGAAACTCCCCTTAGGCCCTTTCCTCTCCAAGTCTCCTTGCCCTATGTCAAGAAAAAGTAATTCATTCCACAAGTAATTATTGAGAACCAGCCATGTACCAGTTAGCATGCTATGCAACACAAATAAACGAATAGATTTTAAAATACACTTACTAAGAAAATTGAAAAACGAGAATATTCTATCATAAAAGGAAAAAACAGAAAAAAGTAGACTAAGAATTATTTGTGAACCACCTAATAATCTGTGTGACTCTGAGCATATGTTCATGTTTGTGAAATAATGTCCTAATGACTTCAAAGAGGATCAAATGGGAAAGTTAATTTAAAAACTGGAAAATGACTAAGGACCAGAGGAACAAGGGGGATTAAAGCAAGAAAGTGACATAATTTAGGGTCATGGTTACCTCTGGAGGCAGTAGCAGGAAGATGAGAGATGAGGTCAAAGCAGTTCTTGGTAATGTAACAAACGTAACAGATATAACAAATATATCTGATTGACAATTGTGTTCCAGCATGGCCATCATATTATTCTTTATAACTTGTATATTGATACATTTTTAAATGTATCTAGAAGTACAAACTTCAAAGCAAATAAAGAAAAACTAATGTGCAAATATGTTTGTGGAAAAGTCACTTTAACTTCTATAAAAAGAACTTATATAAATTGTGAAATATTGCTTATATAAATTTGGTTATGAAAAAGGAAATCCCCCTTATACTCCAGATGTTCGTAGACACTCAAAAAAAAGAGTTGGCACTTAACAAAAATCTCTGCTACTATGTAAGGCTTTTTTTTCCCCTTTTTTCCTTTTTTTTTTTTTAAGACAGAATCATCCAAGCTGGAGTGCAGTGGCGCAATCTTAGCTCACTGCAACCTGCACCTCCTGGGTTCAAGTGATTTTCCTGCCTCAGCCTCCTAGGTAGCTGGGACTACAGGTGTGTGCCACCATGCCTAATTTTTGTAATTTTAGTAGAAATGGGGTTCCACCATGTTGGCCAGGCTGGCCTCAAACTGCTTACCTGAGGTGATCCGCCCGCCTCGGCCTCCCAAAGTGCTGGGATTACAGGCATGAGCCACTGTATGCCCAGCCTGAAAGATTTGTTTTGTAAAGGATTCTTCACATGTACACTGAAGTATTTCATTTTATCAATTGTAAATTCATTTAAATTTTTGTTTAATTTATTCATATCCATTCATCCAGGCACTTATTCAGATAAACACATAATTTGAGTTTAATGTGCTCAGTGCAAGAACTAGTTTTGTAAAAGATATGAGAATTGTTTCACATAATTGAAACAGTTGGGGGGTGAGGAAAGGGATTTTGTGTGATTCCCTGTTGTTTAGAATAAAGTCCACATTCCTTTCATTGGCCTAACAGGCTTCCAAATCTGGCACAAAGCCACTTGTCTAAGCATCAAACATTACTTTCAATACTAACATTATTTATACTCTTTTCTGACATTCTATTTTCTTTTTCGGTTTGAGATGGAGTCTTGCTCTTGCTGCCCAGACTGGAGTGGAATGGTGTGATCTGTGTTCACTTTAGCCTCTGCCTCCTGAGTACAGCCAATTCTCCTGCCTCAGCCTCCCAGGTAATGGATAACAGGCATGTGCCATCACACCCAGCTAACTTTATATTTTTAGTAGAGACAGGGTTTCACCATGTTGTTCAGGCTGGTCTTGAACTGCTGATCTCATGTGATCCACCCACGTTAACCTCCTAAATTGCAGAGATTACAGGCATGAGCCACCATGCCCAGCTTCTTTTTTGACATTCTATCTAGTATTTAATTCCCGCTTTGCTTCCCATGGGGCCAGGTTTTCACTGCCCAAATAGACTAGAAGCTCCTCAAGGGCAGGAAAAAATTTATCAGGGAGGTAGCAAGGAAGGATTGTAATGCTAAACAGTGTTGTTATGCTCAGCCTCAGGAAGACTATGATATTTGAACACAAACCTGAAGGAAGTGAGGAAACAACATCTACAGAGACCTAAAAGCTGAGTGGACCACGCAAGGGGAACCATCAGTACGTATTCCTGAGAGTGATGAGTACTTCTAGCAAGTTGCAGGAACTAGTGGAGTTGGCTTGGAAGTAAAGGAAGAGTAGCAGGATTTGAGGTCAAAGATGTAACGAAGATCAGACCGTGAGGCCTGTAACCCACTGAAAGGACCTTGGGTATTTCTGTAAGTGACATGAGAGTCATTGGAGGGTTTTTAGCTGAGAAGTCACAGGACTTGAATTGCCCTTTATTGGCATTCCTCTGGGAGAACAAGGTGATAAGTGTGCTGCAGTAATAAAGGTAGGAGATGGCAATGGCTTGATCAGAGCAGTAGCAGTGTGAATGAGAAATGGTTGCATTCTGTTTGCCATTTCAAGGAAGTACTCATAGAGCTTACTGATGGATTGTTATGTAGGATGTGAAAGAAAAAGACAAAAATGATTTCAACTAGAAGAGCAGAAATGCCATTCACCAATTTCAAGGTGGTGAGATTAGATATTTTGGCAGAAATAATGAAATTCTGTTGAAATTGGAAGTACACATTAATTGGACTTTCACTTAGCGATGTCAAGTAAATAGCAGAGTCTAAGCATGGAGTACAAGTAAACAGCAGGGTCTCCGAGTTTGGAGTATGCACTGGTCATTTAGTGTTCACAACATAAATATGTGTACAGTGTCTCCACAGCAACAAGGAAACATCAGTTCAAAAGAATCAGATGGAATTTTCATTCTCCATGTCCATCTTAGAGTGATTGGAAGCGGCAGAGCTAAGGGAAGAGAAGGCAGCATCAAACAGAGCTCTGAAGCCGATTCCATAAATAGGCTTCATGATGCCTGTGAACACGTAGAATTCCATCAGGCGACTCAAATGTCCCAAAATATGTGGTGAGAGTGTGTGTATTTTGGAAAAACTGAACATATGGCTCTAACTTTAATAGATTTGATTGAGGATTCCAATGTTATTGCATACTATTACTACTAAGGGCATTTTTCCACATCTGTAAAATGGGGATAATATTCATTGTTTATTCTGAAAATCATAGGAGAAAAGGACAATTACTGAAGAAAGAACTTACAAAACTGTAAGTTAGGATTTCACATCATAAATACAAAACACTCTTTACTTCTTTGACCACAAGCTCAGTCCTTGAACTGTTTCTCTTTATTATTTACCTTCTTTCTTAAGAGACTTAAACTTATCTTGTGGCTTTTTTATTATGGCAATTATGCTTTGATAACTGTGAATTATGTTTCCATGTTTCTTTTAATCATCCATTTTGTCTGTCTTTCATACCCTACACATTCAGTAGCTCAGAAAAGAACTATCACTCTTACTTCAAAATATATATAGAATCCAACCACTCTTCACAGCTTCTACCACTAACACACTGGCCCAAGCCACTGCGATCTCAACTGCATTACTGTAGTACCCTCCTAAATGGTCTCTATGCTCCTACCCTGCAACCATTACAATTTATTCTTCATAAGCATCCAGATAGCTCATTAAAAACTATAAATCAGACCAGGCGTGGTGGCTCATGCCTGCCAGCACTTTGTAAGGCCGAGGCAGGCAGATCATGAGGTCAGGAAATCAAGACCATACTTGCTAACACAGTGAAACCCTGTCTCTACTAAAAATACAAAAAATTAGCCAGGCATGGTGACAGGTGCCTGTAGTCCCAGCTACTCAGGAGGCTGAGGCAGGAGAATCGCTTGAACCCGGGAAGCAGAGGTTGCAGTGAGCTGAGACTGCGCCACTGTACTCCAGCCTCGGAAACATAGTAAGACTCTGTCTCAAAAAAAAAAGGACTTGCGAGGTGGCTCACGCTTATAATCCAAGCACTTTGGGAGCCGCAGGTGGGAGGATCACCTGAGGTCTGGAGTTCGAGACCAGCCTCACCAACATGGAGAAGCCTCATCTCTACTAATAAAGTTCAGAAAAGTAGCCAGGCATGGCAGCATGCGCCTGTAGTCCCAGCTACTTGGGAGGCTGAGGCAGGAGAATTGCTTGAACCTGGGAGGTTGCAGTGAGCTGAGATTGTGCCACTGCACTCCAGTCTGAGCAACATGAGCGAAACTCTCAATATATATGTGTGTGTGTATATATATATATATATATGTTAGATATGTCAGTTCTTTGCTCAAAAGCTTATAGCGGCTCCCACTTCACACAGAGTAAAAGAGTAGTCACACTCATCTACAAAGCCATATAGAGACTCGCCTCCATTTACCTCACAGAGCTCCTTTGGTTTTCCTTTGCACACTGTCCGATACTGGCAGTGGGTTCTTGACCCTCAGATAATAGAAATCGACCAATAATCTAAGATGGATTTGAGCAAGGCAGTTGATTAGGGTTTTCAGCTTGAGCAGAAAAGAAGATAGCAACCAGAAGAAAACTAGAAGCTGGCTCCTGGAAAGGAGGCAAGTCTAGGTTGTTATTCTCTGGGCTTCCTCCAGGTGACATCACGGCATGTTTGGGGTGGTCTGTTGGTTGCATCTTTGCAGTCCCTTGTCATGCTTCTTCCTGTGTCTCAGGTCTCATTAACATCTTAAACCTCCACCCAGGGGTGTGATTTTTAACATTAACATGAAGCAAAAGTTAGGTTAGGATAATCTAAGATCCTATAGTGAATGTTCATTTGGGGAAGGTCTTTTGGGAAGTCCATATGCTGATGGCCAGGATGTTTGTGATTAGAGTGTTCTATTTCTTTTATGTCTGATTGGTTGGTTTTATCAGTGGAAGCTTCAGTGGTTGCCAGGTTATGGAGCTGAGTGCCACTGCAGTCAGCACAGCATGTAAAGAAGTGTGGAGGGGTCCCTTATCCTGCCTTCCCTTGTGTGTCTCACCTCTCTCCCTTTTTCCAGCCACAATACCTGCTTGTTACCTCCCAATCTTTCCTACTTGGTCTTCTATTTGGAATACTCTCACTTTCTCAGTGTATTTTTTTCTCTATCACTTTATGAATAAAATTTTCCAAAAACATATCATTAAAATATCACCTCTCCCCACCACATGCAATGACTTTTCCTGCTTCAGTAATCTTCATAATAGATAGCACTCTGACAGATTATGTCTTATTTTGTGTACCCACATCCAATAAATATAAATTCAATGAACATAGACATATTGTTTTATCTTTTGTCATTCACTGATCTAATTCCCAGAGCACGGAACAATGCGTGGCACATGCTATGTGCTTGTTTTTGTTGCTGTTGTTAAATTAACATCCTCATGTTTTTCTGCTCAAACCGCTGCCTTAGCTCCAATAACATGATTGTTTTCATACACATGAGTTCACACTTTTTAGAAATGACATTTAAAATACCTCCATTGATTTTCCTGATATCAAAGTATCACCCTAAAGATTAGTTGCTGGCTAGAAGAAAAATCTGATTTTCAATGGAACTATCACTGTAAACCAGCGATTTCTTTTTTTTTTTTGGCAGTGTTTCTCTATTGCCCAGGCCAGAGTGCAGTGGTGCCACCTTGGCTCACAACCTCTGCCTCCCCAGTTCAAGTGATTCTCCTGCCTCAGCCTCCCCAGTAGCTGGTATTACATGTGCTGGCCACTGCGCCCAGCTAATTTTTGTATTTTTAGTAGAGTCAGGTTTTCACCGTGTTGGCCAGGCTACTATTGAACTACTTACCTCAGGTGATCAGCCCTCTTCTGCCTCCCAAAGTGGTGGGATTAGAGGCATGACCCACTGTGCCCAGCCTAAACCAGTGATTTTTCTATACCTTGAATTTACATGAACCAGATATCATGTGCCTTTTAGTGCAGTAGTTTGTACATTAAATCTATAAACTGTACCTGACAGGCATATTAACTATGGAAGTCTAGAAGTCACTTGTACTTAACAGGACATGGAGAGTAGAAAAGCCAAGTAAAATGATTAAGAATCAAGCCAATACAAAACAAACAAACAAACAAAAACCCACAACCATTCTGTAAATCTGGTCTCCAACAAATCAATGTCCAAAAATGGTAAAGTAGGGGAGAGAAGCCTGTTTTATATAAGAAAAATGGAGACACAATCAGTTATGGCTGGATCCTTCTATGAACAAACCGGATCTCTAAGACATTTAGAGCATAACTGGGATGTTTTGAGCACATGTCTTTTGTGAACAAAAGACCATGAGATCAAGTAGGAAGTAATAAAGCCTTTGTTTTCCAGGGGGAGAAGCTATCCCAGGATGGGGTGAGCACTCTGTGGCAGTGAAGGGGTGCTGGAATATACATATGCCTTACAGAGTCAATCTTACATGCAAGTTGAGTAGGGTTGGGAAAAATTCTATGAATATTCATGAGGAAACTCAGGCAGTTGTACTTTGGGAAAACATGTGACATACATTTCATGTTAACTATGGGGAGAATTTTTAGCATTAAAATGAGGTGGAATTCAGCTCGGTGTCAAAAGGTGAACTGTAGGGCACAAAGACAATTTGCGCAGTCTCTACAAGCTGGTTGAAGCTGGCTGGGGGTCTATGTCCACTTACCAATGACGAATACCAATAAAACTGGCTCTGTAATTGCAGTTGTGGCAGGAGTGCAAAGCAGGGGAAAGGGGTTTTTGACTGATCAATCAGAATCCATTGTAAAAAATTTTAACTATAGTTGTTTCTACAACGCTTTCTAGCAGTTGGTTTCTGCTTACAGGAAAAAAACCATGTGGTAATTAATAACACTAGGATAACCAATCCATTTTTTTCTGCTAGCCATGCGACTCGATTATGTGGGAGTTTTAAGTACTGTAGACGTAGTAATTTGGGGTATAGCGTCCTGATGGCTGTATGTATACTATAAAAACTATCTTTGCTATTGTTAATTTGATTCTATACTGTTGTTCACTAAAATAACATCCTACCCACTTTTTACATGTTCTCGTTACCTCCGAGGTTCAGTCTAGGTCCCGCTGTGCTCCAGATAATGTCAATTACTTTACAGGAAGTAAGGCTTTATTAACCCCTTGCTGCCGCTTACAAGAGGAAATTACAAATCCGTCTGCCGGACCAAAATTGGGTTGTTTATGTCAAGGGAAGAGCGAGAAAACAGGAATCAGGGGAGCATAAGGAAGCAATCATGCAGCGATCTGCTGAGTTTCAGTTCCTTGCCTGAGGCAAGTACGAGTTCCTAAACTTATTATTTGGCTCATGAGAAATGTTAAATTTCAAACTGTACGGTTTAAAGAGGATCAGATGTTTATTGAATAAACGGTAGACATTAGGATTAATAAGGGACAATTGGGTTGGCTTCAATTCAGTACACCAAATACATACTTGCAAAGTCTCCTCACGAGACCTTATTTGCCCCAGAGGCTTCTACACACCAGAAACTTGGTCGTTAAATTAAGTACTTAAGGGCTGCGCTCCTCACCAAAACAATTCGTTGCGATAATTCGCGAGTCCGGGCGCATTGCCAAGCGCGGCTTTGTTCCTCGCTGTCCGCCATTTTGGGCGACTAGTCTAAGTTTGCCAACTTCCTCTGTGGAGAACCCTGTATAACTACTTAAATGCGATAAGGGAATCAGATTTGAGACACTGCTCCTCTAGTTCTCTTCAGTGCAGCTAAGGCATTACCTCGTGAAAAGCTATAGCTAACAAAACAACTGCAATCATGACAGACCGTAGCCCAAAAAATCCTGTACTGTAACTTTAAATCTGTTCTGGGACACACACACAGAAAAACAAGCAGCAAACGCACACGTACCTGTTTACAACAGCAACATAAGAACAAGCGATTATTGCAGTTGGAGAAGTCACAAGCTCTTTTACGGAAAGGTGTGGGCGGCCCTGAAAAGGGCCTTTGGTTTGGGAAGTCGCGATGTTGAGGCGTCGGACTGGGAGCCTCAGCCGCCGAAGCCGTACAGAGTGCGGCCCTGCCGCTTCAGAGCGTAGACCACGTCCATCGCAGTCACGGTCTTGCGCTTAGCGTGCTCCGTGTAAGTGACGGCGTCACGGATCACGTTCTCCAGAAACACCTTCAGAACGCCGCGAGTCTCCTCATAGATGAGGCCAGAAATGCGCTTGACGCCGCCACGACGAGCAAGGCGCCGGATGGCTGGCTTGGTAATGCCCTGGATGTTGTCTCGCAGAACCTTACGGTGACGCTTGGCGCCGCCTTTACCTAGGCCTTTTCCGCCTTTGCCACGACCAGACATGACTGCAACAACGAGAAAGGAAATTTGAAAAAGCTGAAAGACACGCGAAGGCGGTAGCCTTATATGCCCGGAATGCGGACCTGATTGGAAACTGAACACGCGCATACGGGAAATTTGGTACCGCCTGCTGGCCCCACCCCTCCAGCCCAGACCTGCATAACGTCACCAACGGCTACAGTCCCGGTCAGCACTCCGTGAAGGCGTCTGTGCGATTCTTGCATCCCCAAAGAGGAAACTTAGGGCTGTTTTAACAACTAAGTGAGATTAAATACATTAACGTGTATAAGTTAATATCATTTGCTGCTTGGGATCCTTTAGGACGTTTGAATCGGAGTCGGCTGTCACAAGTGGAACTGCAGCAATCTTCCTTGTGTTAAGCTTTGTCACCCCACGCCCCGTCACATTTCTACTGCCTGCTCTCTTGGTGACCGGAGCCCCCTTAGGAAGTGTTTGAAAACTACAAGACCTCACCCTCTTCACCATCAAGCCAAGAAAAATCTGACCAAAATGGTTTTCTTCCCAAACAGAAAAGCGTGGATATTAGTGATTTGATTGAGGAATTCTGGTTCTCGCTGTGGAGGCCTGTGTTCCATTTCTGGCTTTTTTTTCCTACCTTCAGTGTTTATTAGAATTTATAATTCTTATTTAAATATGTAGCTAACTCGCAAATGTAAACACAGTAACTTGGCCGGGCCTGGTGACTCTCTCCTGTAATCTCAGCACTCTGGGAGGTCAGGGTGGGCAGATCATGAGGTCACGAGTTCGAGACCTCTGGCCAAAATGAAAAACCGTCTATACTAAAAATACAAAAAAAAAAAAAAAAAGTAATCCTAGCTCCTCAGGAGGCTGAGGTAGGAGAATAGCGTGAACCAGGGAGACAGAGGTTGCAGTCAGATAAGACCGCACCACTGCACTGCAGCCTGGGCAACACAGCAAGGCTCTCTCTCAGAAAAACAAAACAAGACAAAGAAAAAACAAAAACAAAAAATAGTAATTCATTGTTGTGTTGTTTGCTTCTCTCTTCCTACTTTTCTCCTTGGTGCTGATAGCAGCCTTTATCACAACAGAATTGGCAATGTGTAGTAGTCCTGTGTATTAAACAGGTGAGTGCCCACAGGCTTTTAGAAGAAAAAGTGGTGTTGGGACTCAGAAAACAGTAATACAAAATGAAGGCCTCAGCAGTAATTTTTTCTCCTTCTTCCACCTTCCTGTCTCACCCTACCATTCTGCCCAGAAGCTAGCTGTAGGAACTGGATTCCTTCCTCCCCCAGATGGAACATGTAAACCAAAGTTGGTCCCAAAGCTAGCCATAAAACGTAAAAAATAGGGCGCCCCAGTCCGGTAGCTAAGCAAACATAAAACATAATGACTCCAATTTTCCTTCTGTTTTTGTGTGTGTGTGTGTGTATAAACTGGCCATAAAGAAGTTATCTGGCCTACCTCGGTTGACTGTAAGTCATAAGACGGTGTTTCCAGAGAGGGTCCTATCCCAAGCACATGCGGAGAGAATGCTGCCTGCTGCCTCCAAAGCCCAAGAATCTAGACAGACAGACCTTGTTGGGTTTCTCCACTTAGTCTAGCATTAGCTCATACTCTTTGTGTCCAATCATATTTCTACACAGCTGTCCATATATCGTTGAACCTAAGAATAAAAATGCATGATTTCACCTGTATCTTTGGGTCTTCAATCAAGGCTTCTGTGTACATGTTAGTTAGTTTGTTAGCCCTTATTGCAAATAATCTGCCTGTAGTCAGTGATTTTCAGCAAATCTTTAGAGAGCAAAAGGAAAACTTCCCCTTCACACATTTATTTACTAAGTTTTCTTTTTGGCCATCTGGATGCCATTTAGCTAGGAAAATTGGGAACATGGGAGGTGCTAAAAGGAAAGAGGTTACAGAACTCTGTTCCTGTCAGTATTATTCTGGCGACGGACTTTTACAGTGGCATCAGCAATTTGTTCCAGTTCCCAATTTTTCCCCCTACGCTCCCAGAATCCTCTTCATTGCCCCACTCCTCACCCTGATCTCACAGAGTTCTGAGCCCCATCTCCCCATACCTGCCCTCCAAACTTCTAGGTTGTAATAGTACCACATTTTCTTTGTGCCACCTCCTTCATTTGTCTCCTGATTCTGTTAGTTATCTCTAGAATACACGGTATATGCTTTTGTTTTTCAGTCTTTCTGTACCTGTGTAGCTTTTATTAACATATCTTTATAAAAATGATACAATTGTTTTTGTCGTCTTGACTGGATATTTACTGATATGTGGCACTGAGCATCCTTTAATTTAAAGGGCCTTTTCAACTTTACATTTTAATTTATTATCTAACTGAGCTTCCTCTTTATCATCAGGGACTTTGATAATCATACAAAACATTTTCCCTGACCACAAAAAACTAACAGTCTGGGGAGGGTTTATCACTGTCTGTAATACTATACTTGTGATATCACTATCCCACATGGAATAAATGCATATAAAAAATTGAGAGAGGCTGAAGTGAGGTAAATTTGACTGCACCTTATAGGCTTTCTTTTCCTCTCCTAGCTGAAGTAAGCTGCACTTTTTGACTGACTCAGGACACTTAAAAATGAATAAGGAATCCACCAGGAAAAGGGATGTATCCTCGTGCCTAGGAAAGGAGGTAATCTGTGTAAAAGTTCTCAGAAATCTGTAGTAGTGATTTTTTAAAATTCTACCAAGGCATTTTGTTTTTAATTTTTTGAGACAGTCTCCTTCTGTCACCCAGGCTAGAGTACAGTGTCATGATGTCACCTCACTGCAACCTCCCAGGCCCAAGAGATGCTCTTACCTCAGTCTGCCAAGTAGCTGGGACTACAAGCATATACCACCACACCTGCCACATATTTTTTGTATTTTTATTACAGATGGGGTTTGGCTATGTTGGCCTGTTCGGTCCCTGGCCTCAAGTAATCTACCACCCTTGGCGTCTCAACATGCTGGGATTATAGGAGTGAGCCACCATCCCCGGCCCCATTTAGACATCTTAAAAAAACTTTTTTTTAATATTTAATTTTTGTGGCTGTATAGTAGGTGTTACGTATTTATGTAGTACATGAGGTATTTTGATACAGGCATGCAGTATGAAATAATCACATCATGGGAAATGGGGTATCCATTCCCTCACACATTCATGCTTTGTGTTACAAACAATCCAGTTACACTCTTTTAGTTATTTCAAAATGTACAACTAAGTTTATTAAGACATATGTGAAAGAGCATAGATAGCATCAAAAAATTATGGTTGGAAATAAATTGTGGTTGGAATTTGAATTCTGATATATAAATAAACTGTTTTTCACATTCTTTGTTCCTTCTCTTTAAAGTGATAACATTACTAACATTAACTTTATTGCCATTTTTGTGAAAACAAATGCAATAATTACAGTAAAAATAAACATTTTAGAGTATTTTTTCAAGTTATTTCTATATATTGTAGTTTTTTCATCAATCTCATATTTATAACATAACTGGCAAGCCTTCTGAAGTATTATGTATTATAATCAGAAGTAATACTACTGCAAATGAGCGGAGAATGCGGTGCTCCAAGACCTTAGGATTTCGACTGTGAAAACCAAATCAAACATGGAGAAACTAAACAAAAACGAAGTGTAAACTGCTGCTGTTAGAATCACAGCAATATCAAAATGCGGTGAGCCTGTGATATTTAGGATACATTTACATGCTTCTATAATAATTTTAATAATATTTACACATTTGTTTTTAAATATATAAAATTATAATTTAATAGAACATTAGTTAATATATAACTCAGTTCTTAAATTTGTATGGGTATAGTGGTTTCCTATTGCTGGCTTGAAAACATCACATTTTATGATTAAAAGATGTAAATGTATAATTATATTGTTTTGTAAATTGGGACTCAGTCACAGACATTACTGAGTAAAAGAATCAAGGCGTTAGCTTATATTAACTAAAGAGCTAAAGAAAGCTGGTAGGCCGGGCGCGGTGGCTCAAGCCTGTAATCCCAGCACTTTGGGAGGCCGAGGCGGGTGGATCACAAGGTCAAGAGATCAAGACCATCCTGGTCAACATGGTGAAACCCCGTCTCTACTAAAACTACAAAAAATTAGCTGGGCATGGTGGCGCGTGCCTGTAGTCCCAGCTACTCGGGAGGCTGAGGCAGGAGAATTGCCTGAACCGAGGAGGCAGAGATTGCGGTGAGCCGAGATCGTGCCATTGCACTCCAGCCTGGGTAACAAGAGCGAAACTCCGTCTCAAAAAAAAAAAAAAGCTGGTATCTGTTCCCTTGTCTTTCTACACCATAGATCATGGTCCTTTTCTTCCATTTTCAAAGCCAGCAATCTATGGCCAAATGTTTCTCGTGCTGCCATATCTCCAGTTCTCTATTCCAATTCCTTCTACTTGTAAGAATCTTTGTGATTATATTGAGTTCATTTGTAACATCCAAGATAATCTCCTTACTTTGAGGTCAGCCAATTAGTGGCCTTAATTCCACCTAAACCTTAGTTGCCCTTTGTCACAGAACCTAACAAAGACTCCAGGAATTTTCAGATTCCAGGGATTAGGATGTGAACATCACCGGGGTAGCATTATTCTGCTTAATGCAGTATGTCACAATATTTTTAGAATCTGATAGAAAGGTATGTAATTTATGTTCTGGGAAGGGGAAACACATATGGCCACATTTTTGCATATGATTTCAGAAAGATGTTGTATTCCCTTAAAGCTGACATAGACCTTAGTTTAGATATTTACTTCTGGAATGACAGAAAACAAAAATTGGGTGCTATACCAATTGCAATTTGCACATGAAGCTATTTAGTATTTTCAGTTTTTGTTTTTCTAGGTTTTTCTTGCTGCTTTCATTGTTTTCATTTGGGTTTTGTTTATTTGAATGTTCATATATGCTCCATATGTACTATGTTCTGTATTCATTTATATGCTGGTTAGGGAGTGGGAAGTTGAAAAAATTATGGACCAGGTGCAGTGGCTTACACAATTAATCCCATCACTTTGGGAATCTGAGGGTGTTGGATCATCTGAGGTCAGGAGTTGGAGACTAGCCTGAGGTCAGGAGTTGGAGACTAGCCTCACCAACAAAGAGAAACCTCGTCTCTACTGAAAATATAAAAATTAGCTGGGCGTGGTGGTAGGCCTGCAGTCTCAGCTAGTGGGGAGGCTGAGACAGAAAAATCGCTTGAACCTGGAAGGCAGAAGTTGAAGTGAGCCAAGATGGTGCCATTTCACTCCAGCCTTGGCAACAATAGCAAAACTCATTCTCAAATTAAAAAAAAAAAAAAAGAAAGCAATATAGAATAAATACTTTTTTCTTAACTGGGTTGAAATTCTAAGAATATTTTTTAGAAAATATTTTTAGTATTCTTAAAATACAAAAATTTTGTAAAAATTCTATTTATTCTATAACAGATGCCATTCGTAAGTTTATGATCTTAAGGTCTGTAATTACAAGAAATACAGTAAAACTTCAGTATCATTATAAGATTACATACAATAGAAAATTTGTGGTGTTTGTAACTAGAGTGCCAAAGTATTTTTCATTTAAAAATTACAACTTTTGCCAATCAGAATAAAAAGGAACACAGGGTGTCCACCCTGAAGGACAAAATGTCACAAACTTTAAAAAGTAGCAAGAAAATATTTTAGGTTAGAGGTGTTTATTTCCTGGACATCCAATCATTACTCCCAAATGGCACTTTGCCAGTGGCCAAAATAAAACAAGAATAATTTTTATTGTTAGTATTGCATCCAGGTACCAGTGTTCATAGTTTTCCATTTTCATGAACATTACTTGTCTTGGTTTCCTTATATTTTGAAGAATTTGTTTTAAGCAGGTAAATGCACCAGTGCTGTAATGACTAAACGGGAATACTATTTTCCCTGACACAATAGCAAAAGAATCATTACCTAGTTACCAAAGTTCTTTCCACTTCTTATAAAACCAATTTGACAAGGGACACATCACAACACAAAATAAGAAAAATGTCCATATCAGCACAATGGGCTAACCTTGTATTCAGCACTTGGGATCAAATTAGCTGGGCGTGGTGTACCACTAACCTACAATTAACCACAGTATTTGCATTCAATCAGTCAATCCAGTCACACACCTGCAAAACACAAAAAAGGATAAAAGCAAACCTTTTGGTAAAGACAGAAACTATGCAGGTAATTACAACTCTATAGCTGAAAAAGTGGGTGGCTCTTAAAAGAGCCTTTGGGATTGCGTATGAAGACGTTAAAATTACTTAGAACTGGTATACTTGGTGACGGCTTTGGTGCCCTCCGACACGGCGTGCTTGGCCAGCTCCCCGGGTAGCAGCAGGCGCACGGCTGTCTGGATCTCCCTGGAGGTGATGGTCGAGCGCTTGTTGTAATGCGCCAGGCGGGAAGCCTCACCAGCGATGCGCTCGAAGATGTCGTTGACGAAGGAGTTCATGATGCCCATGGCCTTGGAGGAGATGCCGGTGTCGGGGTGGACCTGCTTCAGCACCTTGTACACGTACACGGAGTAGCTCTCCTTGCGGCTGCGCTTGCGCTTCTTGCCGTCCTTCTTCTGCGCTTTAGTCACCGCCTTCTTGGAACCCTTCTTCGGGGCGGGAGCGGACTTGGCAGGGTCAGGCATGATAGACACACACTTCGTAGATTACCTAAAAAGAAATGACCTAAAAAGTGTCCTCTATTGCTGGTAATATTTGTAGAGCTCATATGCAAAATTGGCATTTAAAAACGTAGACATTGATTGGCTGAATTGTCTCTGGATACGCTGTGATATGCAAATTAGGTGTTCCTCATGGTGCTTTGCAATTGGTTGATTGTTTTAGCCAATAAAACAGTGTTATTTGCAATGCGACCTACAAGTATAATAGTTTCTCACTTGCTAACAAAGATCTATTTTACATTTTTCTTTTCACTATTGAAAAATCTTTGCGAAGGTATCAAAATGTCTGGACGTGGAAAGCAAGGTGGAAAGGCTCGAGCTAAGGCTAAGACTCGCTCATCTCGGGCCGGTCTCCAGTTCCCCGTAGGCCGCGTGCACCGCCTGCTCCGCAAGGGCAACTACTCTGAGCGTGTCGGGGCCGGCGCGCCGGTCTACCTGGCGGCGGTGCTGGAGTACCTGACCGCCGAGATCCTGGAGCTGGCGGGCAACGCGGCCCGCGACAACAAGAAGACCCGCATCATCCCGCGCCACCTGCAGCTGGCCATCCGCAACGACGAGGAGCTCAACAAGCTGCTGGGCCGGGTGACAATTGCTCAGGGCGGCGTCCTGCCCAACATCCAGGCCGTGCTGCTGCCCAAGAAGACCGAGAGCCACCACAAGGCCAAGGGAAAGTAAAACGAGAACGCCTATTGGATCTTTTCGGAAGCAATCTTAACCAAAGGCTCTTTTCAGAGCCACCCATGTATTCATTAAAAGGGCTCACATGTTCTGTTAAGTGCCTTACTGTTTTTTTTAGTAATTTTTTCACCTACGTATGTTGGTGTCCTTACACTGTCAGCCATGAAATTAACAATCCATTTTAAAGTTGACATTAAAATGCTTAAGCCTACTGGCCAGGCGCTGTGGCTCCAGCCCCAGCACTTTGGGAGCCCTAGGCGTGCTAATCACGAGGTCAGTAGTTTGAGATTAATCTGAGCAACGAGGCGAAACCCTTCTAGTGACTTAAAGCAACAGAAATATTCTTAATGAGACAAAGTCATATGCAGTATGTTGCGATTTTTAGGGTCTGTTTTTGCCTTTTGTATGCCAGGTTCAACTCAGCTAACGGATTATAAATATTAATACAAACCTACATCCCCTGGAGTCAGATGGTCCTTAACTGGAGCTTCTTTGCACAGTGTTCAGCATGACTAAAAGCTCACACTGACCTTTTCGTGCCAGTTATAAATTTGACTTTTTTTTTTTTTTTTTAACGCAGACTACACAAATACCAACTGAACCTGTGAAAGAGTGCTTTCGTAGAAGAATGTCATATTTTAGTGAAATCTGTGGTTCTCTAGCTTAACATCAGGTTTAAAAATTGTTACTTCTGAGTTAACAGTTTTGGTGCGTTTGAAATAAATTATTGTAAAACGTCTGCACACTCCAAGTTTAAATAGACAAATGTAAACATGAAATTAGCCTTTCTAAACTTAAGAGGGTTAAAAAGAAATCACTTGGCCAATCACAACCAGCGCGCGTCTTTTCAAAACATTGATCAAAAAAGACAGTTTCAGGCGCCAACATTTAAAAAAAATTGTCAAGATACGTCATCCCAGTAGCTAGATAAAATTTTGCGGAGGAAAATCAAGGTACGTCTTAAATAAAAGTGATAAAGTTGGCACAGAGAGGAAAGGGTTGAAAACACCAGGAATTAAAGGGAACGGATGGAGGAATAGTTTATAGTTGGTCTATAGGCACGGGATGTTCTTTTCGGGAGTGGGAGTCTCCACCAATCGAGCCTAAGAGGAAAGACTGCCTTGTCCAATTTGTCCAATCAGAACAGGACAGTCTTTATATATATGGGTACAAAAGGCTAGGCTTTCGTTTTTTCTTCATTTAGGCGGGTTCAGAAGTTCGCAATGGCTCGTACCAAGCAGACAGCTCGCAAGTCCACTGGTGGGAAGGCGCCTCGCAAGCAGCTGGCCACCAAGGCTGCTCGCAAGAGCGCTCCGGCCACCGGCGGGGTGAAGAAGCCGCACCGCTACCGGCCCGGCACCGTGGCCCTGCGCGAGATCCGCCGCTACCAGAAGTCCACGGAGCTGCTGATTCGCAAGCTGCCATTCCAGCGTCTGGTCCGTGAAATCGCGCAGGATTTCAAGACCGACCTGCGTTTCCAGAGCTCAGCGGTGATGGCGCTGCAGGAGGCCTGCGAGGCCTACCTGGTGGGGCTCTTTGAGGACACAAACCTGTGCGCCATCCACGCCAAGCGGGTGACTATCATGCCCAAGGACATCCAGCTCGCTCGCCGCATTCGTGGGGAGAGGGCATAAATTGTCTTGTGAATGTGTGCTAACAAAAACCCAAAGGCTCTTTTCAGAGCCAACAACCTTTTCTATAAAAGATGCTGTGTACTGCTGCTGTCGGCAAACTGGAATCTAAGTTGAGGTAAGCAGGCATTCTATCCGTTTCCCCTCCCCTCACGGAATTGGTGTAAAATGCTCTATAATTGGGCAGCTCCTAAAATAGTCTTTAAGCTACTCTAGTTTTGATTACTCTGTTTTGGGTGGCTGCTTTCTCACGCTCGGATGTCTTATGCTTGGGAACTTTTGATTTAGTAAGATTCTTGGCCATCTTCGATCAACTTAAACCTTTTTCTCCAGCAGCCTCCACCCGCAAAAGCCTTCTTTGGGGGTCTGCTTAACACTCTGCGTTAAGGGTGCCACACACTTTCTTGGGCCTCTCGGCTGCCGGGACAGCTGTCTTGGGCATGCCTGCAGCTGCTCTTTTTGCCTTGGTTTTAGTTTTCTCATAGACCGCCTTGTTTAGCTGGAACGAACCCGAGGCGCTGTTCTTAGCACGAAGCTACCCTTGTTCGTTTTCAAGGCCCACCTTTATTCAAATAATTTTAAATTTTATTTTTAGGGATGGGGTCGCTCACTGCTATCCACGCTGGTCTCTGACTAGTCAGCTTGGCCGTGCGCGGTGGCTCACGCCTGTAATTCCAGCATTTTGGGATGCATAGGCGGGTGGATCACGTAAGGTCAAGAGTTCCAGACCGGCGTGCCCAAGACACTGAAACTTCCTCTGTTCTAAAAATACAAAAATTAGCCGGGTGTCGTGGCACGCATCTGTAGTCCCAGCTGCTCGGAATGCTAAGGCAGGAGAAGGGCTCGAACACGAGAGGCGGAGGTTGCAGTGAACTGAAGTCGTGCCACTGCACTCGAACCAGGGCAGCAGAGCTAGACTCCAACAACACGAAAAACAACACCGCTAAAAACAATTCCTCAGCTTAAGTGATCCTCCAGCCTTGGCCTCCCAAAATGCTGGGATTACATGTGTAGGCCATCGTGCCGGGCAAGGCCGGGTTTACTGCGGCCGCTCTTCACATTGTAGCCGCCAACACCTTGAGTGAGGCCACAGACCATCCTCTGCGCTTCTTGGAGGCAGCTAAGTCGATAGTGATGGGTCAGATAGAGGTGGCCTGGACGTCTTGCGCTTCACGGCACCTTCGGACTTGCAAAACTTTTTCTTTACTTCAGTCGTTGACTTGGGAGACAGACCAGAAATCACGGCATAAAAAGTTTCGACATAATTGTAGGTTTGGATATCTAACAGTTAAAAAAAAATCAGCCTACAAGTGTGTCAATTATTACGTGTAAGTCACACACAGACAAGCTGGGCGCTCATTGGTTCCCAGCTCAGTCTTTCAGCTTCGTAGCAACGTAGTCTCAACCCTGTCTCTGAATTGTGTTTTTTGGAATTCAGAAAAGCTAAATAGTTTAAATTTTCTGAGGAGGAATTACACCAATTCTATTCTACAATGAACCTGGACGGCTACGGCTTTATGATCTTTGCATTTTTCTTTTTCTAGTTTTTATTAAGGCAGCCTCAGCCTTTATCGAAAGCTCTGACTTTCAGAAATTCACAGTTCAGAGAGACAACTTATTCATTTTAATTTAAAATATAAATTCTTCCATTTGTGTCTCCAATTGCTTGCTGTCATGTAATAGCCTACAGATTTTTGACTTTTCATACATGAAACAACTGCTTGATTTTCACTGAGATTTAACCAGAAAATCTTTTTTATGAGAAGGGTTTTTTTTGTTTTTTAATTTTTGTACAACAGCAGCAATAAGGATATTTAGAACAGCTCTGATAAAATTAGTTGGGGCTGAAATGTTTTATGATGGCTTCTTAAGACTATTTGGAAGTCTAGTTAATTTGGGAGAGTTCAAGTGAATGTTCAACGATTCCCTGGGAAAATGGGAAATACAATGATCAGTGATTCTCCTGGCATTGGGACTGTTTGCATAGCTGCACTCAGGAGAGATCCAAGAAAGGGCATAAAAGACAGAACCGGACTCATTTATGAGTAAAAGCAGTTTAAACAAAAAATTTACTGGGGGAAATTAGTTATTGAAGTGTTCATAGGACTTTGTGTTCAGGGGTCTGTCATGCTTAAGGACAGAGGAAGATAGACTTTCGCAAAGTATTAAAGTACCAGGATCAAGAAATATACACACAAAGACCACACACACAAAACTGTCTTAAGAGAGCAATTTAAAAAGCCATGTTTTATATTCAGTACTACATTTTTTGTTTAAACAATGATATAGGCTTAAAGTGAAAGAAGAACACCTTATGTTCGATATGAGAAGAAAATGGAATGATGGCAAAAAGCGATTTAACTGATTTTTCTCCACTCCTCAGTGTCTTGAACATCTGTTGATCTGGGGAGCATGTACAATTCTATGTCTTACTAAGACTGTGAAGGAGAAACATGCTGGGAACAGATAGAGCAAAGCACAAAAGTTGAGGGTTTCACACTTTTTTATCCCATCAAAATTAACAAACGACTTCATGTAGCAAATTCAACTAGGACATGAACAAATTAATAAATGTCAATAAAAATGAAAATCAGTTCAAATGGTTGGGATGAGATGAGAAATGAGCTAAATATGAATCACATTTACTTTGAGTGTGTATTAACTGTTTCTGGAGCCCATGTATTTCTAATCTTAAAATGGCTTTGACCCACCATATTTGATTTTCCTGAGCACCAACAAAGGAAGAAGTGACTTCTAGCCTTCCAACTGCAGGAATTTTCTAAGGTACTATCCTATTTGCCTTCATGGGTTCTTTAATTACTTTCATGCAAGTAACTGAAGTCTCTCCTTTTCAGGCCTGTCCTCTTGCTTAAGTATCAAACTTGCATTTCAGAATGATTGCTGGATATCTGCTTGTTCATCTTCTATACCAGACTCTCAGTAGAACCATCCTCATCTAAGTAGCTTCTGTCTAAGATTGCAGAATGTTGCCTTGATTGTTCACCTGTATCATACCCTGAATATATCCAACCACATAAAGGAAGCAACCTTTCAAGTGACATCCCTATACATTCTATTCATAACACTATTCTTTTGTGAAGTAACACTTCAATTATTCGCTTTCTTTTGTTGCCAAATCCAATCTGTTACTAATTCTTCTTAAATCCATCTTTCCTTCTTTATTTTCCTTTTCATGGTTGTAATTCTTACTCTTCTATTTCTTCTTTGGACTGCCTATTTTTATAGCCTTCTTAAGGGCCGTTTTCTTCTCTCATCTCTCTGTGCTGTCATTCATCCTCTTCATTGCTTTGGGTGAAATATTCTTCATATGAGCTTCAAATTTACATGCCCCATCTCCTTGTAGCTTTATGGTTTTTTTTTCACTTAAAAACTGTTTTTCTCTATTCTTATAAGCCATGAAGAAAAACCTGGATTCATACAGCTTTAGAATTTAAGAGTAACCTTACTATGGCAATCAAACTCTCTAATATTGTCTTTAAATCAATGATCTGGCAGTGTGGTTTAGTAGAAGCATGGAATTGCAAATATTACGACGTTTATTTGAGTCATGTTTTGCCCTTTGGAGACACGTGATTTTGGTCTAATTATATTACCTTTCAGAGTATCTTTTTTTCATTTTTTATTCTTCCTTTTTCTCACTCCCCAACCCTGTTTTAAACTTCAAACTAATCCAATGACATGCTTTGAAATGTTTCTATTTTTCATTCCCTGTATCTCAAACTGGATGAGATCTCTCCCTGTTTTGAATTCCTACATCAATTTCTCTTTCTTTTCTTTGTTTTTTCTTTCTTTTTCTTTCTTCTTTCTTTCTTTCTTTCTCTTTCTTTCTTTCTGTCTTTCTTTGTTTTTGACTTAATCTCGCTATACTGCCCAGGCTGAAGTGCAGTGGCACAATCTCGGCTCACTGCAACCTCCGCCTTCCAGGTTCAAGGGATTCTTCTGCCTCAGCCTACCAAGTAGCTGGGATTACAGGCAAGCGCTACCACACCCAGTTAATCTTGTTTTTTTTTTTTTTTTTTTGAGACGGAGTTTCGCTCTTGTTACCCAGGCTGGAGTGCAATGGCGCGATCTCGGCTCACCGCAACCTCCGCCTCCTGGGTTCAGGCAATTCTCCTGCCTCAGCCTCCTGAGTAGCTGGGATTACAGGCATGCGCCACGATGCCCAGCTGCTTTTTTGTATTTTTAGTAGAGACGGGGTTTCACCATGTTGACCAGGATGGTCTCGATCTCTTGACCTCGTGATCCACCCGCCTCGGCCTCCCAAAGTGCTGGGATTACAGGCGTGAGCCACCGCGCCCGGCCTGCTAATTTTTGTTATATTTAGTAGAGACTAGAGATGGAGTTTTACCATCTTGGCAAGGTTGGTTTCAAACTCCTTACCTCGTGATCTGCCCGCCTCGGTCTCCCAACGTGCTGGGATTACAGCCGTGAGCCACCACGCCCAGCCCTAGATGGATTTCTTCAAATTCCATGATAATATGTTTCATATTATCTGTATACTTGTCCACTTTCAAATCTTCCTAGTAGTTTACAAATAACTAGAAGGTATAGATTGGTATTGTAGGAATGGCATACAAATGTTTATGTAAAAAAAACTTGCAGAAATACATACAGGGAGTTGTGTGGAAGCACAACAGAACTCAAGTGTCCTTAACCTTCCATTTCTTTATTTTGACTTTAGGGCCACTGCCCAAATGCTTGTTTTCTGCAGCAGTATGTCCTATGCAATACTGTTGACATGGATTTTCATTTTAAATTGAATGACTGGGCGAGGCCTTATACACCACTGAAGATGCAGAGCAATTATGAAATAGGTAACTGGTTCAAGTTTTTGCCATTTAGCTCTAAGTGGCCCATACATACTATGCCTCTCTTAAGAAGGATTTTAGTACTAATTTTGATCTAGATAGAGAATTCATATTTAGCCACCATATTCCTAATTAGGATGAAACAAAGAAATGAAATCACTATGGGGCTTTTTGTTCTTTACACATGTTGTAGAAATAAAACAATTCTAGCAGCAAAATGACCTTTCTCTATCAATATAAAATAAAGAAAAAAGGGTAAGGTATGGTGGCTCACGCCTGTAATCTCAGAACTCTAGGAAGTTGAGGTACGCGGATCACTTATGGTCAGGAGCTCAAGATAAGCTTGGCCAACATGGTAAAACTTAATCTCTACAAAAAATACAGAAATTAGCCGCGCATGGTAGCAGGCTCTTGTAATCCCAGCTACTTCGGAGGCTGATGCAGGAGAACTGTTTGAATCTGGAAATAGGAGGTTGCAGCCAGCAGAGATAACGCCACGGCACTCCAGGCTGGGCGTTAGAGTGAGACTCATTCTCTGAATAAATAAATAAATAAAACACAATGTATTATTGAATAAACACTAAAAGATTTACACACGTAAATGTTTCCAAAGTGAGTACAAAATTAGGAGAAACTCACACACACAGCATAACAGAGGAAAGAGCAATAACTTATTTTGTTTTCTCAAGAGACAGGGGCTATATCTCATGACAACCTCCTGTATATCTTGTGACACTTCTAAATCAATTCCAGAAGTATATTTAATCCTATATAAAGGTTATCTGACCCTGGACCTGGGCCAGGCTGGTCTCAAATTCCTGACCTCAGGTGATCCACCCACTTCCGACTCAAAGTGCTGGGATTACAGGAGTGAACCACTGCGCTCCACCCAGAATAGCAGTTTTAAATGCATTAGATAATATATAGGATTATAAAGTGAAACATTTATATTAATATGCCAATATCAAATTATAAAAAATCTGAATTGGTAAAATCATATGTGCTTTTAAATATTTAATTTTATTTGCTTATTGATTTTGAGACAGAGTCTCACTCTTGGCCAGGCTCGAATGCATTTGTGCTATCTTGGGTCAATGCAGCCTTTGCTTCCCAGGTTCAAGCAATTAGCCACCTGAGTAGCTGGTATTACAGGCCTGCACCAACATGCCTGACAAATTTTTGTCTTTTTAGTGGAGACAGAGTTTCGCCATGTTGGCCAGGCTGGTGTCAAACTCTTGGCCTCAAGTGATCCTCACATCTGGGTCTTTCAAAGAGCTAAGATTTACAGGCAGAAGCCACAACCATATGTGCTTTTTAAATGAATACATTAAATAATAATCTACCCAGATGAAAGACTTAATATAGTTTAGGAGGATTGAGATTTTTAAATGACATTTTGAGATACTGGTAATGGCAATGTGATACTAATAAAAGCACTTTTCTGCCAGTTCTGCCAATTATACTGTTTGTTTTCTGATTTCATAAATAGAGAAATGCTAAGTTTCCTTTGGAGAATGGTTTAAAAAAATAGTTAACTTTTTTTTTTTTTTTTTTTAAACTCATTCCCAGATCCCCTGAAGCCTGTCTATGCATCCAGGTTTAGAACCTTACTCTGCAATTTGTTCCGATGTACCATGTACTAATTGAACAGCTGTGATAAACTTGGTTCTTTTTACAAGTCATGAAGGAAAAGGCAAATATTCCACCCAAAGCACCTGGACATTTTTATGGGGATTAATTATGAGTTAAGTCTTTATTTTGAGGAGATCCCAAAATTAGATTTTAGCAAATTAGGATACTCTCCCTCATCCCTTTAAAAGGGTGAACCTTTGAATAGGAATTGAGAGCAGCCACAGTTTTGTAACATAGCATAAGTAATGTTTAGTGATTGCTTATTCAGAATCTAGATGTGATCCTAAGCATTTTAATAGGATTATCTCTTTTCAACTTACAAAATACTTAAAATTCACCTGTTAAAATACATTTAAAAGAAACTTAGTATAGCTTGCCCAAGGTCACCCCACAGCCTGTACGTGAAGTACGCTGTTTCAATAGTTTCCCTGGATTCTATGATGCCAATTTGCTGCCGCCTTAATAGAATGTGGTGAATGATAGATACAGTGCTAGCTACAATTTGTCCATGATTAAAGATCTCTAAATGTGCAACTTTCATATACTTTTAGTTCCCTCAGTAGCACTATCTAGCCTGCATGCCAAAGAGCCCTACTTGGTTAACTAGGCATTAATAAATCAATAAAAGTAATCTCAGATAATAAAGATACGGTTTGCTTAAAATACTTTGAAAGCACCTTGTAAGGGACAACAGTGTGTACTATTTCATATTCTGGGAAAAGTAGGGGAGAACTGTCAAGCATCTTTATTAAAACTTTAAGAACTGGTGACTCAGTTAATGGCTGCAAGTATAGTGTGCAAATACACACACGTATATACCTAGGAGTATTCATTAAATCCCAATAAGGCTCTACTGTTGCCTCAGGTCCCTCCTGGTCTCCTCCAGTCTGAGCAAGGGAGAATTGTTCAGAAGGGCGGGAACTGCCTGTGGTTCCCGCCCCTGCTCTTGAGGTTTTCAAACAGGTCCGTCACGCTATTATAAATACTGCTGAGTGGCTCTGGTAGAGTTACAGTGTTACAAGCTTAGCAGCCTTTCACCATGTCTGGTCGCGGTAAGGGAGGAAAGGGCCTAGGCAAGGGTGGCGCCAAGCGTCATCGTAAGGTATTGCGTGACAATATCCAGGGAATCACCAAGCCCGCCATCCGGCGCTTGGCTCGCCGCGGCGGCGTCAAGCGTATTTCTGGACTCATCTATGAGGAGACTCGCGGAGTGCTAAAGGTTTTCCTGGAAAATGTTATCCGCGATGCTGTCACCTACACGGAACACGCCAAACGCAAGACAGTCACAGCCATGGACGTGGTCTACGCGCTCAAGCGCCAGGGACGCACTCTGTATGGCTTCGGCGGCTGAGTTTAGCGCGACAGTTTTCTACCGCAAAACCAACGGCCCTTTTCAGGGCCACCTACCCACTCAGGAGAAAGAGTAGTAGTCACTGCTTAAAAAATTTATAATTATTTTCACCCTTAATAGCTTCGTATTTTAAGTTCAATTATTTTACTTCTTAGTTTCATATCTTACTGGCCAGTGAGGATGATCCAAGTGTTTTCTGTTTTTTTATTTTCAGACCGTCTCCCTCTGTCGACCTGGCTGGAGTGCAATGGCGCGATCTCGTCGCACTGCAGTCTTGGCCTTCCGGGTTCAAACGATTTTTTTTTGTTCAGCCACTTGGCGTCAACCGGCTTGCGACACGAACGCCGGCTAGTTGTATTTTCTTGTGGAGATGGGTTTTCACCACGTTACCAGGCTGGTCTTGAACTCAAGCTCAGAGATTCCCTCACTTTGGCCTCCGAAAGTTCTAGGATTACAGGCGTGAGCCACCGCTCTTGGCCTGTTTTCTCTTAGTGTAAGAAAACTGATGGCAAACTGCCGTTAACATTCTGCATGGCTATCAGAGAAACAAAGTAGCAAAAACTAGCTGAGAAACAAGTTAGCAAAAGCTGTACTACAGAAGGCAAGCAGTAAAGGCTGATGATGCTGTGAGGAATAGCTAAGAAAATGGATTTAGTTCCTACCAAGGTATTGTTACATGAGAGGCCTCTTAATTTTGTCCTGAGACTCTGCGCTGTTCTTTTATTGGCCATCTGGGTAAATATATCTAATAAGGCCTATGTATTTAGCAGAGGTCATTAAGCATAAGTATTTACTGGAGATCACCTATAAAGTCTTGAAGAATCATCTTCAATACACATTTTGAGGTTTGGAGAAACCTTGTACAGAAGAATGCTTATTTGAAATGTATAACATCTTTGGTTAATTACCTACTTTGTGCCTCTGTTTCTTCACAATAGTACTACTACTTAGTTTACAGATTTTGGGGTGAAGAAAGATAAAATGTTTCTTAAGCATTTTTGTTTTCTTTCAAAGTCCAGTTTCCAGACTTATGTTAAGCATTTTTACAAGTTCATAACGTGGTACTCTATATTTTGGCTATTTTTATTATTGCTAATACTATTATACTTATTTCTCATGACAGAGAGGCTCAGAGAAAAAGAAGGTGGTATTTTTTTTTTTTTCTTAAGGAGGTGGTATTTGAACCATGAAAGTCTATACTTTATGATACTGCACTGTCATTTTTTGTCTTTGTGGTCTGTGGCAAGTTACTAATCACCCTTCCTTTATCTGTAATGTGTGGGAAACTATACTTTTGTGAGGACTGAGTGAGACAATGTATGATAAATAATATGACAGCTTTACATATTCAACAAATATAAGCTTACATGTATTTTTAAAATGTGCTATAACAAGATGTCTTAGAAAATAAAAGATAATTTTTAAAAGGTTGCAAGTGTATTACATTTTTTTTTAACATAAACATCAAAGCTGAATTCCAGATAACAAAATAAAACACTGTTTTGAAAGATCACTGACAACACTTAAAAGTACTGCTGAACACTCAGGCCTGTCCTCTTACTCCCCTTTCCACAATTCCTAGGAAAATGAATTTGCTTGATTCAGCTGGGCTGATTCCTGGATCCATCAAGAGTGATGGCTGAAGAGATAACTGACAGCATAATGTAACTACGTGAGGCTCAGCCCTTAATGGGCTTTTCCCAGGAAAAATAGAATTATTCTGCATCCAGAAGTTATCCCGGATGGTCCCTGGGGTGCCCTCCACAACCATATTCCCAGTGATGTCCATTTGCCATATCCAAAACTCATGTTGTCTGTTCTCATTCTACTATATAACAGACCTGGACACCACATTCTTTTTGTTTTTTTGAGATGGAATCTCTCTCTTGCCCAGGCTAGAGTGCAGTGGCACAATCTCTGCTTGCTGCAACCTGTGCTTCCTGGGTTCAAACGATTCTACTGCCTCAGCCTCCCCAGTAGCTTCCGGATTACAAGACTGCACCACAACGCCCGGCTAACTTTTGTATTTTTGGTAGAGATGTGGTTTCGCCATGTTGGCCAGGCTGGTCTCAAACTCCTAACGGACTTCAAGTGATCCGCCTGCCTTGGCCTCCCAAAGAGATGCGATTACAGGTGTCAACCAGCATGCCAGTCTCGACATCTTCTCTGAAACTATTTATTCTCTAGACTTCTGCTGGTTTTATTCCAAACTTACTTACCAGTATTTAGTTTGGGTGTTTTTTTGTTTGTTTGTTTCTTTCTTTTTTTAGACTGAGTCTCTGCTTCCCAGGCTGGAGTGCAGTGGTGCGCTCTCGGCTCACTGCAACCTATGCCTCCTGGGTTCAAGAGATTCTATTCTTCTGCCTCAGCCTCCCAAATAGGTGGGACTACAGGCCTGCGCCACTATACCCGGCTAATTTTTGTATTTTTAATAGAGGCGGGGTTTTGCCATGTTGGTCAGGATGGTCTTGAAATACCGACCGCAGGTGATCCTCCCTTCTCGGCCTCCCAAAGTGCTGGAACTACAGGCATGAGCCACCATGCCCAATGTATTGTCTCTCTTCTTTCACTAGGATATCAGCCTCAGGAGAACAGTCCTCTTTCTGGCTCACTGAAGTATATCAATGCCTGGCAGAGGGAATGCAACCAGTCTCTAATTAAATACTGAATGAAATCCCTTCAACTACTCTGATTTTACAAAATCCGTATATTTTTAAGGATTTAAATAGGAGAAACGAAGTTACCTTTACATAGAGCAAAACTATCAAAAATTACCGTGGCATCTTAGATGCTATCTAGAGATACTTCATAAAATATTGAAACCAAAGCTTAATAAAGCCACCAGCCCACACAATGCCTTAAGTTTCAAAACATGTCTATTTCAGCTGCAAGAGTTTGCAGTAACTTCATATGCCCGTACATAGCTCTGATTGTGAAAAGGTTGAGTGGCTCTGAAAAGAGCCTTTGGGTTTCCTAAACTAACGTAGTCGGCAGAGCTACGTTTACTTGGAGCTGGTGTACTTGGTGACGGCCTTAGTGCCCTCCGACACGGCGTGCTTGGCCAGCTCCCCGGGCAGCAGCAGGCGCACGGCCGTCTGGATCTCCCTGGAGGTGATGGTCGAGCGCTTGTTGTAATGCGCCAGGCGGGAAGCCTCGCCCGCGATGCGCTCGAAGATGTCGTTGACGAAGGAGTTCATGATGCCCATGGCCTTGGAGGAGATGCCGGTATCGGGGTGCACCTGCTTCAGCACCTTGTACACGTACACGGAGTAGCTCTCCTTGCGGCTGCGCTTGCGCTTCTTGCCGTCCTTCTTCTGCGCCTTGGTCACCGCCTTCTTGGAGCCCTTCTTCGGGGCGGGAGCGGACTTCGCTGGCTCAGGCATGTTAACGTCGCTGCTCTGCAGCTAGGAACCAAAATGAAGCCTACAGCTCATGATCCTCCGTATTTGTAGTCACCCTTATGTAAATGAAGATTTAGTTTCTCTATCTCTGATTCGTTCTTTAGTCGTGAAGTCTGCATGCAAATGAAGGAGCTTTGGTCTACTCTCCCATTGGTCATATCCTGAGAGCAGTTTTCGAGCACGGGCCACCTAATTAACATTTTATATAACAAGTTCCTATTATTGCAAAGAATTCAGATTAGTTTTCTATTTACTTTAAAAACTAGAAGTTGCTATCCTGTATGCTTTTAAATACCAGGGAGGCAAAGCTCGTGGCGCAGTTACCTCTCTGAAATGTAAGGCCCCTTTAAAAGCTCCTGGAAAAGCGATGCCTGATTCTAGACCTGCAGGGGAGACCGGAAGAAAAGCGAGCCAGGCGACCGGCAATCACCCACACAATCCCGAGAACAGTGTTTCTTTTTTACAGAGTGCCCAAACACATTTTGGAAATAAAGAGCAGGCAATAAAGCTCCAGAGAGAAGCAAAAACAACTAAAAAGTAAATAGCATCTCTTGAAGAGCTTGAAGAAGACGGGAAATAATGGCATCCTTGAAGAAGAGGGGAAAGAATGTCGTAGCCAACAGGTCCACAGTCTTAATGGAAAAGCAAGTCACACCTAGTTTAGCCCTACAGCAAGGTTCAGAAATAAATATTCAGTCTACTGAAAAAATAAAAAAATAAAAAAAATGAAACAGCCTGCTATTTAACAAACAGCCCTACTTTCAATTTATTATCTTTGGCTAAAGCCCGCTGCCTAGCTAACTGTTCACTACCTGTCCTTCTTAAATTCGACTGTTCTTCTTAAGCCTTCCCTCCTTCACCCCTCGCTCCCCAACCCCCAGCCCATCTCCCCTCTTGCGACCATTCCCACTTCCAGGGCCCTAAGTCTCCAGGCATGAAGGTGCTGCACAAAAAATATTGCACTCCATCGGGTAGCATCTAAACAAAAGTGTACTCTGAATTTATTGTGTCTTATCTTTGTTTCACATAACAATTTTTTTCTCACTTCCTTGATGAGAAAATCTTAAGACCTGTTTAACGCTTTTTAAAAATTTCCAATTTAGCTAATGTAGCAGTGTTCATAGAAATAGCTAATGTGCTCCCTTTGTATTTATTTAATCCTAAAAATCTTGGGCCTGGTGCAATGACCCACGCCAGAAATTCCAGCACTTCGGGAGGCGGAGGCGGGTGGATCATGTGAAGTCAGGAGTTCGAGACCAGCCTGTTCAACATGGTGAAACTCGTCTATTAAATATAAAAAATTAGTTGGATGTGGTGGTGAATGCCTGTAATCCCAGCTACTTGGGAGGCTGAAGCAGAAGTATGTTTTGAACCTGCAACGCAGAGGTTGCATTGAGGAGAGATTGTGCCATTGCACTCCACTCCAGCCTGGGCAACAAGAGCAAAACTCCTACCAAAAATAATAATAATAATAAAAAAGAAGGGCCTGGCGTGGTGGCTCATGCCTGTAATCCAAGCACTTTGGAGGCCAAAGGGGGCGGATCACCTGAGGTCGGGAGTTGAAGACCAGCCTGACCAACATGGTGAAACGCCGTCTTAGAAAACAAAACCAAACCTTATGTCGTGAATATTACTTTTTCCCCCATTTAACAGAAAGGGAAGTTGCAGATTGTAGATTGTAACTGCAAATTAGAGCACCTAAGGTGCAGCATCTTCTCCCAAACCCCATCACTTGTAAGAGGTGGAACCAGAACGATGATTTAGGTAGAGTCTGCTTGGATTTAGTCCGTTAGAAGAAATTCCCACCTATCTTGGTGGGCTGTTACCAAAAGAGAAAAATGCTTCTTGTTCTTCTCATGTTAAAAGCATGGAAAATGGAGCAGTTGTTCAATGACTCGAAGTTGTCTGACAAAAAAACAAACAAACAAAGCTGATTCTATGGTATATCTAGTCAGTAGAGAAAGAGGAAAAAGATGAATGAGACAAAATTTAAACTGTATTAAGGGAAAAGTGGCAGAGGGAGAGAGAGGAAAAAAAAACCAGACAAAATGGAGGGAGAGGCAGAGGTGAAGAGTAGGATAAAAAGATAAAGAAATTCACCTAAAGAGGATGAACTAGTATGTTGGAGAGACACAAAATGTACGTACACAAAGAAAACCACGGAGAGAAGTCCAGTGATACAATCTGCAACTACAAGAAGTAAAAGAAAGAAAAGTGCAGATGAAGACCTTTAACTACATCCAAAATATGCATATTAGATACTCAACTGAATACATTGGATTGAGACGGTTAAATGATTTTCATGAGGAAGGTAACATTGCCATTTTCGATTTTTGAAATTCCTGCTAAAGACTACAATTTCTGAACTTTTATATCTATATGAATAAAATGGTGAAGCGGCACATAAGAAAAAGATATACGAAATTTTTAAAATGACAACTGTTAGTAGTGGCACTGAGATTTCTTGTTTCTGATTCAGATCTCAAGAGAGTTTTAACCTATATATGTAGGAGGTCCAGTTAATTACTAATATAAAATGACAAAAGATATATATATATACTTTTTTTTTTTAATTTAAAATTTGTTTAGATCAGGCACAGTGTCTCAGATCTGTAATCCCAGCAATTTGGGAGGCCAAGGCAGATGGATCACTTGAGACTCAGTAGTTTGAGAGCAGAGTGGCCAATATGGTGATATACCCTGTCTCTACTAAAAATACCAAAATACTAAGAATACCAGGTGTGTTGACACATGCCTTCTACTATTAGCCACTTGGTGGCTGACGCAGGAGAATCCCTTGAACCAGGAGGAGGAGGTTGCAGTGAGCCGAGATCTCACCTCTTTACCCTTCCCTGGGAGACAGAGTGAGGACTATCTAAAAAAAAAAAAAAAAAAAAAAAAAAATGTTTTTAGAGAAGAAGATCTCACGACATTGCCCAGGCTGATCTCAAACTCCTGGCTGGAAGCAATCCTCCCATCTTACCCTCCATAGTCAGTGAAATTACAGGTATGAGACACCAAGCCTGGCTGTACACTTTTGTTTTAATCGATGTTTATTTTTGTTTTTTGTTTGTTTGGTTTTGGTTTTTCTTAAACATCTAAGAATGGATCTATAAAGTGTAAGTAAGTCATTTCATTTTGCCTATTTTTATCTTCACATGAATGGAATCACAAACCGTTTATAATTTTATGATGCTTTTTTTTAATGATGCTTTTTTTAATGATGCTTTTTTTTAATGATGCTTTTTTTTAATGATGCTTTTTATCCAAATCCATGTTTTTGAGATTCATGCATGTTCGTATGTTATTCCAGTACCATCATTTTATTTTATATTGCTAAATATACAGTAACATTGGTATACTCACTCAATTTATTGTAATAGACCTTCATATTGTGTCTATCTGGGATTATCGAGGACATTACTTCTGTGAACTTCCTTGCACATGTTTCCTGGTGTAGATGTGCACAAATTTCTCTAGCATGTATGTACCAAGGTGAGAGGCTGGTTGAGACACTCACATAGAGCTGCTTAGGGTCAAGATACATCAATAGATCTAGAGCTCAAGGCTGAAGCCTGGCATAGAAAAATGGCAGGCCACTCTGCCACCCCCCCAACACTTAATGTCTTTCCAAGGTTTAAGTAATTGTTTCTTACCATCATAAACACTGACCATATAAAAACATCTGGATGGAGAGAACCATTTTCCATTTCCTATTTCTCACGAGGTAATATTTTTTTTTCAACTTCTGAGTTCCTTTCTCTTTCTCCCCCTCTTCCCCTCCCCTCCCCATCCCTTCCTTCCCCTTTCCTCCTTTTCCTTCCCCCCCCTTCTGTTTCCCTTCCCTTTCCTCCTTTCCATTTTTTTTTTTTTTTTTGAGACAGTCTTTTGCTGCATTGCTCACGTTGAAGTGCAGTGGTGTGATCATAGCTCACTGCAGCGTTGAACACCTGGGCTCAAGCAATCCTAGGCCTGAGCCTCCAAAGCAGCTAGGACTGCAGGCATGCAGCACAATGCCCTGCTTATGAGATATTTTCTTGTTAGAAATGTCTTCAGAGCTGTTGCCTGTAATCCCAGCACTTTGGGAGACGGAGATAGGCAGAACACCTCAGGTCAGGCGTTTGAGACCAGCCACTGGTCAACATCGCAAAACCCTGTCTCTACTAAAAATACAAAAATTAGCCAGGCATGGTGGTGTGCGCCTGTAATTCCAGCTACTTAAGAGATTTAGGCAGGAGAATTGCTTGAACAATTTTTTTTGAAAACACACACAGAGAGAGAGAGAGAGAAAATGTCACCGGAACTTTATTGTGAAGCAAATTGGAATTGGAAGAGTGAACCCTTATGGAGCCTGGGATGGCGAAACTTTGTTTTTTTCTCTTTTTTGTTTTCTTTTTTGAGACAGAGTCTCTCTAGCTCTATGGCCAGGCTGGAATTCAGTGGTGTGATCTCAGCTCACTGCAACCTCCTCCTGGGTTTAAGTGAGTCTCCTGCCTCAGCCTCCCAAGTAGCTGGAACTACAGGTGTGTGCCACCACACTCAGCTAATTTTTGTATTTTTAGTAGAGATGGGGTTTCACCATGTTGCCCAAGATGGTCTCGATCTCTTGACTTCATGATCTGACTAACTCGGCCTCCCAAAGAGTAAACCTTTCTTATAGAAAAATCTTTATGTTGGTTCATGCCTGTAATCCTAGCACTTTGGGAGTTTAAAAAGCAACTTCTGACTCCCACGTTGAAGTGATTCTCATGCCTCGGTCTCTTGAGTAGCTAGGATTACAGGCATGAGCCACCACCCCTGGCAGGGCTTTATTAATCTTTTAAAGTTATTTTGATTGCAACTGATGATAAGATCTTTTAAAAAATCCTATGAATTAAATCTGTTCATTTTCATGGAAATTATGTAGAGATGGATTAGTAAATTTAAAAAATCTTATTAGTTGCCTTTATTGATAAGATAAATCGCATGTAATTCTTTTTTAAATAATTAAATTAAGGCACAGATTA